TGAAGCACGTGACGACGTTCTCGTCCGTCTGCGCAGGGACGCGCGCGCGCTCGTCGCTTCCGCCGCTTCCGCCGCTTCCGCGGCGCGCGGCGCGCGGCGAGGGGCCCGGGGCGCGGGTCGCGCACCTCGAGCGAGTCGCGGCCCGTGCCCATCTTGCGCGGGAGCACGACGAACTGGATCAGCAACTGCGCGGGGCGAAGCCGCGGCCGTCGGCGCGCGGCGGTTCCGTGGCGATCGCGCGCGCGCCGCGGCGCGCCGCGGACCGGTCCGGGATGACCGTCGCCGCGACGAGCTGGTGCGTCGCGGGGCCGCCCTCGTCGGCGATCTGCGACGTCCTGCGCGAGCGGGGGCTCGAGGGCGGCGACGCGACGCGTCGGGCGCGCGCGCGCGTCGACGGTTCCGGGAAAGCGTTCGCGGACGCCGCGCGACGGGCAGGTTGCCCCAGTGGAAGGACGCGACGCGCCGCGCGAGCCGCGACCTGCGAGGGATGCCTCGACCATGGACGTGGTCCCGAAGCCGTCGGGGGGCGTCGCGGCGCCGCGCGCCGACAGGTGCTTGCGCGACCGGCCCTCGTCCTCCGCGGACGCGTCGTCCTTCCACTCCGTGCCTGTGGGGGCGAAGGACGTGTCCGTGCAGTCGCTCGCGCGCGCGCGCGCGCGCCAGACCCCGCCCCCGCCCCCGGAGCACGCGCGCGCGGGATCGTCGAGACGCCGAGCGGTCGCGGAGCACGGCCGCCGCGAGCACGTCCGCGGTCGAGTCGAGCATGCCTGCGCGCCGGGGATGACAGGGCTCGCGCGCGCGCGCGGAAGCGATGGTGGGCCGCGCCCGGCGGGGCGAGCCCGAGGGACCGCGCGAGGCGCGGGGCGGGAAAATTCAAATTTCAAACTCGCCGGCGGACGCGCCGCGGTAGCAGAGCTGCATGAGCTCGGCGACGTTCTGCTCGATGAGGTCCGCGGCCTCGGTCTTCTCGACCAACTCCCGGCGCTCCTCGTGGTAGTTCACGAAGATGGACGCGATCGCGTCCATCCGGAGCCTAAAGTTCACGAGGAACGCGGACGCGGCCGCGGACACTTGGACGGACAGTCGCTTCGACGCCCGGACGGGCGGCGTCGCTTCCGTCGCGCGCCGCGTGCCGCCGTCGTCGCGCGCCCGGGCGTTGCGCCGGCGGGGCTTGCGCGTCGACGCCTTGTCCTTGGCCATGGTTTGAAATCGATGAGGTGATCAGCACCTGTGAGCGAAACAGGGGTGGTTGTGGGTGTGTGGCGGGGCTCGGGCGGGGTCGTGGGGCGCGCGGGGCGTCGCGCGGGGAGCGCGGGGCCCCGGGGCGGGCGCGCGGCGCGCGGCGCGACGACCCACGAGATCGAGCGCGAGTTCTCCGAGACCTTTCCGGCAGTTGATGCGAGGGTCACAAAATTTTGCCCAAGTCTAGAACCCTTTTTTTGGCGTTTTTGGCGCTCCCGCCAGGCCACGCGCCGGCGAGACCGACCGGGAGGTCTCCGCCCGCGCGCGTGCGGGACTCTCCAAGGCCCGAGTTGATCCGGCTCGGAGACGGCCGACGTGTGGGGACGCGCCGGAGACCTCCGCCCGCGCCCGCGCGACGGGCTCCGCGGCCCCAAGGCCACCCGGCTCAAAGGCCGCCCACGCGTGCGCAGGAGGCCGCGGTACCCCTGAAACGACCCGAGCGTGCTGTTAAGTTAACGACTAGTACGCGGCGGCGCCGAGGAAGGCGCGCAGCGCCTCCATGGCCTGCGCGGACGCCAAACGGTCGAACCTCTCTCCGTCGAATCGCGTCGTTTTCGGTGATTTTTGGACGAGCGATCTTCCGACGTCGCGCGCTCTCGACGACGACGGAAACGATTCGCCGAGACCTCTGGACTGCCCTCACGTCGAATGTTTCCGCGCGGGGCCTCGCCGGGAAGACGAAGAGCGCCACGGGCAGTAGCCGGAGCACCGCGGGGAGCCAGCCCTTGAAGAAGGCGGCGGGCCCGCCCGTGCGCGCGAGGTCCCGCACGCAGGCGAGCACGCCGCTCCGGTCGCCGTCGCGGGCGACCATCAGGCGCGCCTTGACGACGTCCATGGGCGCGGCCGCGGTGCAGTAGGCGACGGACGAGCAGCAGACCGCGACGGGCACGGCGAGCGCCGCCGGCAGCTCGGAGGCGAGCGCGGCGCCCTTCACGCTGTCGTAGGTCGCGAGCTGGGCCGCGGAGCCCGCGGCGGCCCGGAGCACCGTCGCCGGGCTGCCGACGAACGCGCCGCCGCCCTTGAAGACGGCCACGAGCGCCGCGAAGCTGTTCGGGTAGCGCTCCGGGTCGCGCTGGAGCCGCGTCTTCACCAGGTCCAGGGGGTTGCAGAGCGCGGCGCCCAGCGCGCCGCAGGCCGCGCCGCTCGCGATCCGGGCCACGAGCGAGTCGCCGCCCAGCGCGTTCTTGACGGCGGGGAAGAGGCCGAGGCGCAGGCCGTGGTAGCAGAGCCCGCGCAGGACGCCGGCGGCGAGGCCCGCCGTCGTGAGGAGCGGCAGCTTGCCGGCGCCGCCCGTCTGCCGCCGCACCTTGAAGACCTCGACGGGGTAGAGCGCGATCTCCGTCGTCGCGGCGGCGACGCCGCCCGCGAGCACCTCGCGCAGGGGCATCCACGGCGGCGGGTCGCCGAAGCGCGTCGCGCGCAGCGCGCCGAGCGTCGCGATCACGACGCCAAGCACGACGCCGAGCACCTGGGGCTCGCTCAGGGCGTCTCGCTCGCGGCCGCCGCCGGGCGCCACGGGCGCGCCGAAGACGACCGGCGCCGGCGCAACGCCGCGCCGCCGGCCGGTGGGCATCCGCGCAGCGACCATCGGTTTCGGCGGCGCGGAGAGCAGCGAATGGCTCGAAGCGACGAGCGAGGACAGAAGCAGCGCGATGAGCGGCCATGCCTTGCGTGTTAGACCACTTCACCTTTGACAACAATCGGCGATTGCACCTTCGCAAATTACGGCCTCGGCAGGAGCGCGTCGGCGGCGGCGAGCACGACGGCCGCGGTCCAGGGCGGGTC